TGATGCCTATCAGAAAACAACTACTCCCCTAGCTAATACCACGAAGGGCATTGGATTATATCCGATAGGCGTCAGTGCAGGAATCTTCACAGAAAATTTCCTGTATATAGAGACTGGCTTGAACGTTTGAAGTTCATTTGCTTTAGATTGTTGACTGCCAGTCTTCAAGCATAGCCCACTGACTAATAAGAAAATATACTTTTATAGTCTTCTGTGCGAAACTTGTTATTGTTTGCCTGTGATAAAATGTCAACTTTAAGAGTAATGGAACTTATCTTCACTTCTGAGTTCTCTTCAACACTTATTCTGCTTCTATATTTATTTTGTATGTACAAGAGTTCAGAAAAACCACTCAAGTAACTCGTAACAGATGGCATCAAAAATAGCAGAGCTTGCCGGAAGAGCAAAGGGTACTCGGTTTCATATATGATCCAGAAATTAGTTAAAGATTTCTATTTAAAATAATCTTTCATGAACCTATCTTCTGTAAGGTCGATAAAACTTTCTTTCAGTTCCAATTCATTTGGTTAGGTTCCCGAAAAAGGAAAAGGATAATTTTGTATTTAGAGCCCTAGCCTTTATGAAGTTAATAACTTCCACAACATCTGATAGAACGGAGTTAAGATTTTCTGGCATACCTTTAGCAGCTAATGCTTCTCGATGGATGACACAATGCGTACTTTTGAATTCAGGAGCAACTCATTTCATTTCTGCTGCTAGCCCTGTACACAAGCCAATACATTTGGACCAGGGAATGCCTACTTTGACCACATAATCCTCGATTACCTAAAAAATGAGTTCCGCTATGGTATTTGATTCAAAGTTGTTTGCAGAAAAAAAAACTCTTCTATCACCTCTTCATTATAATCAAATCGCACGAAAACAAGTAACTGCGCCATATTTGTAACGTCACTGTTTTTGTCAACTTGAAGTGCAAAATAAGAGGAGTTTTAAAGCCAGTTGTTCTTCAATATTATTAGACATATCGTCGATTCGTCTTATTACTATGTTTTTTTTCTTTATTACCTTGGGAGCTGTCTGACTTGTCCATTTAATCCAAGTCTCCAGAAAACACTGCAGCCTCTTGGGCTTATTGCGTTTATTCTCCCATCTTCTCATGACACCCATTCCATCAGTCTCGTTCCCTGTACTTGGGTAGTTCTCATTGCTTCCGTCATCTCAAACATGCAAGTCTTTGCACCTTGCCCAGTTTGTTGATGGCGGTCGCCTGCTTCACCTTTGGCCACCAGACCAGAGATGCGTATGTTATCATGGGCTTGACCACTATCGTGTATAGCCAATATACCATGTCTCGTTTTAGTCCCCATGTTTTCCCATGGGTGCGCCTGGCGAGCATCAGTGCTACCTCCGCTTTCCTCTTTATACTGTCCAAGTGTTGGTTCCAGGTCAGTTTGGAGTCTAGGATTACTCCCAGATATTCAACCTCCCCCGACACTTGTATTTCTTCACCTCGAAGTTTTAGAGGTTCGAGACCCCCCGTTTTAGTCCTCTTGGTGATTTTTACTATGTTATTTGACAGTGGTATTTTTTAAATTTCTTTGGCTTGAACCATATCCAAGTGGCCGGCAGTAAAAGCGTCTCACCTATTGTGTGAGGCTTTTCATCTTTTGCAATTCTTAAACCAGCAAGGTATGACGCCTTCATCAAGTTAGTATCAGTATTGACAAACTTCGGCAAACATTGGGTTTCTTTCTTTAAAAAAATAGATTTTCTTTTAAAAAATGGGTTTACCAATCAAATCAGGGTGCTTAGTACTTTGGTATCGCATCAGTAAAGAAGACTTCATGGATTGGTTCGAAAGTGTTTCAAAACATACGACACATTGAGGAATAGGAATGTCACTGGTTTCAGTCCCTGGCTTCACTATAAAACCGTACTGTAAGTAGCTTTCATCGTATTTACGATTGGCCGGTAATTTAGAGCTTTTAGTGCAATCCTTTGAAGTAGAAGAGGACGTCAGAAATCGTTTCATAGTTCCGTTTTCTTATGCGAAATCATAATTAATAATTACAAAACCCACAACGAACCTGTGATGCCAAGTGGAAGTAAAAGACAATCCTTTTAAAGACCCACAGGTGAAAAATGAAACACCCTTTGTTTACCAATTGTACTATCTGGGGATTCCTAGGTTAAATTCCTAAAGTGTTTTATTGTTTTATTACCTAGGAATTAAAAATTCCAATCTGTTTAAAATCTGTTTGATCTGTTTAAAATCTGTGTTTCCGTTAACCAGCTGTCGCACCCCTACAAACGACAACCCTCAGAAGTCGAAACTTGTGCAAGCTAAAAATTAACGAGGTCTTACCTTTTAACGTATGAAATAGAAATGTAATAGAAAAACAAATATGTCAGGTCGTTCACTGGGTTTTGGGTATTTCGTTTTTCTAGTGACCCGTGAGCTGAGTCTTGTTTGCTATTAACAGCATGTTGCTCACAGCACTTACGCGTACCACCTGAAACGTTCCCGCGTGCCTACCATTGGTGGTACGCGTACCAGCGGTTGGGAACCCCTGTTGTACAACTTTTGTTTCAAATTTTTTTATACGTTGAATCGTTTTCGAAATAGTGAGCAAAAAGCACCCCAAGTGAAGTTTAATAAGTATCGATGAAAAAANCATATGAATAAACTGTCAAAATTTATCGCGGATAGCCATGAACAAAAAAGAACCAATAAGCCATAGTACAGAAAAATACAGTAGGTAACTTAACAACTTAACAGGTGCTAACAATAAAACTTATCGAAGCGTCTCTGTATGTCCGTCCACCTTCTCTTTCGATGCGTCTAAATGTTCGCTCATGAAATTCGTTTAATGTAGATCGCAACACATTAGCGGGAATATTTCTGCAATGAACTCGTATTGAAGTTTCAAGCACATCAACATGATTGAAGGGGCGATCTCTGTAGACTTGTCGTTTTGAGTATCCCCATAAGAAATAATCTAGAGGTGTAAGGACTGGAGAACGAGGATCGAGGATCGGTATTTCGTCCTAACCATTCATTACGAAATGTCCTATTCAGCCACTGAGAAACATTTCTAGTAGAATGGGCAGGACATCTGTCATGTTGGAACCATTACTTTTGCCGTTCTTCTAATACCATTTCATCCAAAAACTCTCCTATTTCAGTTTCCAAAAAGTTCTAGTACCTGTCACCATTCAAATTCTCGCGAAAAAAAAACCTATACTGCTGCGATTATCAATGTCAGTTTTCTTATTCATAAAAAAAATCGTATACATGTTAACTTTTACGTCAATTTATATCTTCAATTTATTGTTTTTCATTCATTTTTACTGTAAGTATGATTTGTAATGTTATTCAAAGGCGAAAATTATCAAAAATCATTAAATTATAGGCTCTGAAGAAACTTCCCATTAGAAGCGAAAGCTTGGCAAAGTAAAGCAGTGTTTGATTTTTGATTTTTTGACTGAGAGATCCTGTTAATCCATTTTACCATACATTTCTCCAGTCGCTAACATTATCCAAATTAATGGTTTAACAGGGTCTCTCGATCAAAAAATAAAAAATCAAACTCTGTTCTACTTTGCCAAGCTTTCGCTTCTATTGGGAAGCTTCTTCAGGGCCTACAATTTAATGAGTTGTGAATTTTTTCGCTATCGAATAACATTACAATTCATACTTACAGTAAAAATGAGTGAAAAACAATTATTGAACTAATAATTTGACGACGAAAAAGTTAAACATGTATAGGATTTTTTGTGGGTTATGTGTGTATCTGCATATGTGTGTACATGTATAGTTTATGATGACTGATGAAAATTTGCAGCTTTGTCAATAAGACCTATTGTTCTTTGGGCAATAAAGCATATTATTATTATTATTATAAAGTGTTTTTGAATACGTTAATGCCACTCGTGATAAACCTCTCTGTTTTCGAATACTTGTTGAGGAGGATTTAAATCTTAGGCCAAATCCCAATTATTGGGAAATGAAATTCAGTTGTTTTCTTAGAAAAATTCGGCAAAATTTAATTTTCAGAGGTAGTTTTTAGGTACAGACTACTAACAGGTAGGCGTTTTTCCCCCACAACATTAATTAATTGCTCCATTTGATTTATATAAGAATCCCACCCAATTCAACATTCAGTTATGATTTTCATTTGGTAGTAACACAAAATATAGTGTGCAATGGAACAGTTTACGATCAAGCGAATTTGGAAACATTTATCGGGGTAAGTTAACTGAATACTTTACATATAAATGTATAAAATCGAGAAAGGTCAGTGCAGTCAATCTGCTGGGAAATAATTTTATTAAAATCAAAAAATTAATATCTAAGTACTTTTCTGATGACTCTCATATTGAGTTTAATTCAAGAGCCACTGGTTGACAGCTGTTTCAGCCTATTGGGCATCGTCAGTACCGGGCAGGCGTTCCTCGACTGAAGACAAAATGTGAGTAACCAATAAACGTACTTAATAAAAATAACTGCGTAAATGCAAACGAGACATAAGTGGAACTACCTATTGGTTTGACACCCAAGTCAACTTGCCAAGTTTTTATGTCAGTGTGGTTTGACCAATCAACCGACAACTACGGTAGCAAAAATTTGGGAAGATATCTTGGAATGCCATCGGAAAACGAATCCACATGTAGAAATGTGTGTCACACCAATAGGTGGTTCTACTTATATCTCGCTTGCGTTTACGCAGTTATTTCTATCAAGTACTTTTCTTGGTTATTCACATTCTGTCTTCAATCGTGGACCGCCTGCTAGGTGCTGACAACAGTCGAAACAACTGTCTACCGGTAGCTCTTAAGTTGAAATCAATATGAGAATGATCAGAATAGTACTTATCAATTTATCTTTTGATTTTCATGGAATTATTTTTCAGCAGCTTGACTGCATTAACTTTCTCGATTTCATAGACCATTGATTGCCAATCTTTGCTACAATGTTAATTCAATTTTGTTTCAGAATGATTCACAGGAGACACAACGAACATCCAATACACACTACTATGGTTGAATCCACGGAAACTGATCTCAAACAAACAAGTAGCGAGACGAGAGACATAAATAATTCCCCAAGTACCCCCAAAGACCAAATTGTTATGGATCCAATTTTCACTCCCCCCGCCAGGAAAACGAACAATATTCCAATAGAGCTTGTGCGTGCCACAGAACGACTAAGAATTAAAGAACAAGAAGGCACCTTCAAGCCAACACTTGCTGAGGAAAATGATGATGCAAAAATAGACTGCTTACGGCCATGTTCAACCCGGCTCCTAGCCACGTTGGAATTTGATGGAAGTGTCAAGAAGTTACCAGGTAAGATATCCGAATACATTTCGGATATTTTCAGTTATCTGAGGTCCCTAGAAGATAACTTTCACATTCCGGACAATTTCCTAAGTGGTCACGCCACCACACCCCGAATGCGCGCGATTCTAATCGAATGGATAATAGAAGTCCAGATGAAATACAAAATGTGTCCGGAGACGCTCCATCTTTGCGTTTGGATCGTGGACAGGTATCTGCAAGAAACGAAGTCGGTGGGACGTAAGTGTCTACAGCTTGTTGGGACTTCTGCCTTGTTGATCGCTTCCAAATATGAAGAAATGGATATTCCCGACGTAGAAACCTTCAAGAACCTGACTGATTACGCTTTTTCTAACAGGCAGATCCTGAAGATGGAAAGACAATTATTGAGAGCGGTGGACTTCAGTTTGGGACGACCCCCGCCCCTTATATTCCTGAGGCGGTATAATAGGATCGCGCAAACTCGAAAAGAACACCATTTTCTCGGAATGTATTTACTGGAGTTAGGTTTGATGGAGCCGAAGATGAGTCCGGTGAAGCCTTCGCTTCAAGCTGCCGCAGCTTGTTGTTTATCCATGGGGATTTTGGATGGAACTGACGATTTTTCAAAATTATGGGTTCCTGCTCTAGCTAGGGAGACCAAATACACATATACAGATTTTGAAGGGGCAGTAGCCATATTAGTCGAAATCATCGGTAAATGTGATATGCCATTCTACAAGACGGTCTGGAGGAAATATGCCAAACCGAAATATGGTAAAATCAGCGTGAATTTGAAATTGAGAGACTTTGTCCTTGAAATGACGGCAGACGAAACGCGATCAAGTACGGATTGATTGACAGGGGGGTATGAAGGATTTCCTCGGACCATTGCTTCGTGATGGTCCTTTATTTTCATTCGATTGGTTTTATGTATAGATGTTTAATAAAAAATGTCCAATAAATAACCTACTCAGATGTGTTTCGATTTGGGATAAACTCCTCGGAAACTAGGCTTTCGATGAATTAGGAACAAGTATGCATCACAGTTTGAGCACCAATTTTTGTTGTGAATCTTGGTAATTTTAGAAATTGGTTCAACATTTTGATGGAAGGCTGACTGTTGAATGCTCTGTGATCTATGAAAAGTTGTCCTTTGAAGTTAATCAGTATTTCGTTGACGTACGACTACCGCAGTCAATCTGGCAAAATACTCGAAAAAATATTCAAAAAACGTTTAATGACTTCCACAGAATAACAATAAAGGAAAACTAAATAGAAACGTATAAGCCTAAGTACACTGAATTATTCAAGGATTATATATCCCGAGTTTTCCAAGCTCAATCGACTATATTGTATGGAAATCCATATTTCTCGAAATCTGTCCAGAATATGGCCTCAGTGTATAATAATTTCACGAAATCCCAAACCATAGGCCAAAGTATTTTGTTTCAAATTGCCCTACACAAATGCATTTTCATGAAATCAAAATTATTTAAATTATGAGATTACATTATACCTAATCATCATAATCGGTTAAACAGGTCTAGTGCATATACTACTGCTATTAAACTGTGTTAACGCTGCCTAAGTTTTAACTGCCTATGTCACTGATACAAGGAAGATGAGGAGTCAAAACTTTCTTTTAATGTGGTAACTTGTTTTATTTTATTGACGTGTTCCAACTGTTCCAATGTAACATTCTTTTCCACACGGCCATCCTCACCAACAGTAACTTGAGCCTTTTTGTAACAAAATTTATATTATTGCATCACATTTCTTTGTAGCTTTTCCTTGATAATGATAATAAACTTTATGGAAATATTGGAATAACTTGTGTTATAAGAGTACATTTAAACAATTGAAACATGTCAATACAATAAACAAGTCATTACATTAAAAGAGGTTGACTCCTCACTGGATACAAAGAAGAATATTGAATTAAAATTTACTGAAAAATCGTTATTTGTCTTAAAATTATGGTTTACCGGTAAAAGCCATGTGGTTGAAGAACAAAGAGAGAAACAAAAAACAAATGACAATGACATATCTCATGTAATTTAGGTTGAAAAAGTGTGTTTGTTTGTCGATGATAAAACTATGGAACAAAAGAGAACTATTCTGGTGCAAGTGTGATCAGAGACATCTGCTGTTCTGAAAGTAACTCAAAAATCAAATATGTTAATTAATTGACAACACCCTCATTAGTCTTGAGGAAAACAGGTGAGGAAGTGTTGGTAAATGAAAGTAAAACCCTGCCATAGGGAGGTTGGAAGTTTGTTAAAGAAGGAAATATTCAAAATGTTATGAAATAAATTGATGGAAAACCAGAATTATCATTGGTTTGGAAAACATGTAGATTTTTTCAACCTCCCTATGGCAGGGCTTTAATCTATCTATTGTTTAATCTATCAAAGCCGTCACTTCAAATGGAGATAATTGATTTGCAAGAAGATGTGTCTTTGCAAATGTCCAAAACGGTATCCACTGAGGAATTTTGGACCAAACAAGTCCCAGAAAAATATGAAAGTTGCAAGAAATACGTATGTGAAACATCTTTCTCAAAGATGATTTTTTGAAAAACAAATAAACGGACGCCCACCTAAAAGACACACTTCGAATTTGCCATTCCACTCAAGAACCAAACTATAAAAACTGGCTCAAGATCGTCGGTATAGTTTCTCACATCAATTTAAGGCCTTGTGTTTTATAATTCGGAATTTGATATGAAAACAGAATAATATATAGGTAGCACTTAATTATCATCAGTTGTTTTTTTCTGGACTTCGGTGAAATTTTTCCACAGTATCCGGACCCTACCTAAAACTACTACCCCTGTCTTAGACTATCGATTTTGGGTGGAGAGATTGACGGAAACTAGCGATGTGCCGTGTACGGTTTGACTCGAGTCAGACTCGATTCCTGCTTTAGAACTCGCCTACTCGAATACCAATTTATTATGATTCGAGTACGCCGGGCTCGATTCCGGTACTCGAGTCAGGAAGAATCGATTCGACTCGCTAACGCGATTCTATTTATGCGAGTCCAACTGACTCGAGTCTCGTATTCGTTGCCATGTTGCCAACCGTACTCTTTGAATTGTATTTATACGACCTTTTTGGCTTTGGTACGTTGTATAGTCGCCAGCACGTCAAGCTATACAAATCTATCAAATTTCTGTAATCGATTTTGAACTTTATAGTAAAATAATAAGGTTGGTTTCCGTTTGGGAAAATTTGACAGTTTGTGGTAACTTGATGGGTTGCCCACCGTACGATCGTATATTCCTAATCGTACGCAAAATATACGATCTTTTCAAATATTATGTTCTATTTTTTTTTGTTTATCTCCATAGAACTCCTATGCTCTATGTTTTTATTCAATGTTTATAATTATCTTTCATTAAAAACCATGGATTTATTATTGTTGTGTCATTATGCTTAACCTAACCTACACGGTATTTGAAGTTAACTCCTTTTCATTTTTCCCTTTTGTTCTAAAATCGGACTCTAGTTCTGGACTAGAATTTTCAGACTCGAATTCTGGACTCGACTCGAGTCCTACCGTAAACCATCCATAATGCAAATGTAAAACTATTATTGGATAGCCAAGCAGCTATGTGTGTGTGTGACTAGTTCAAATTGCGTTGGTATAACCAACATGTAAAATTTCTATAATATTTTAATATTTTCAAGATGCTTAATAGTTTAAAAATTCGCAGAGCAATACAAATATTAGGAAAAGTAACCTGCAAATCATACGCATAGATCTGTTACAAGAGATAGAAACTGTTAGCCTTTTCTACATCACCAAATAAAGTGGCAAAATTCAACAGTTTTTTAATCTCACTCGTGTTTTCGTGCCAGATCGCTTCATATTTTTGCAGATCTTTAATTGACATTTTTAAAGTATTAGAATCAATGAGAAACACAAAATTCAAATTCAGCATGGTAGCACAATGCTGATAAGATTCGATAAAATACCATCATTATCTCTTTAGAAAATAGTTGAACAGGTTGGACTGTTTGTCTGAATAATTTGTGATGTTTCTGAAAAAAAGTCATCGTCTAACATAACTTTATTTTTGGATAATTGTATCATTATATAACTAATTATTACAAACATTATTTGCTACCCTAATTAAAACTAATTATAGGTACGACACTGGCCGGCAAGGGGAGAGTCTACGCGGTCGCTCGCCATCAGGTTTGGCGCTTGCTGTAACTAGGTCGCTGTAACTAGGCGCTTGTTGTTCTATGTCAGACCACCGCTGACCTATACGGTAAGCCAGGACCACTATAAAATCCCGTGACCCGAAGAGGACGGATGTAGCTCTCTACAATCGACTCTTAAGAGTTGAGAGTTAAGAGCTCTGCGGGAAATGGAGATCCTGACTCCTGGCTACAATAAAGAACTGGGAAGGTACACGGTATCTACCCATAAGAAAATAGACATTGCCCCTATTAGGCAATGTCTATTTTGTTACCATCAACACATGGTGGTGCCCAGAACTGGGACACCTCAGGAAGACAGCGAGAACGACCTTCAATAAGGTAAAACGTACAAGACTCGAAGAGGACTGGGGTATATATCAAGCCAACCTCAGAGAGTTCAAAAAAGTCTGCCGACAAAAACATAGAAAAGCCTGGAGAGCCTATTTTGAGGCAGTCGAAGACTTCCCACTAGCTTCTAGGCTACAGAAGGCACTCTCAAATGACCACCATAAGAGTATCGGCATTCTGACGAGGGAAATGGCAATAAAGCCGCCAATCTCCAGGAGAGTGGCGAGATTCTTATGGAACCTCACTTCCCAGGTTCTGTCTTACAAACAACACCCTTACAATACGACTGGCAATCTGCTAGTGCAGTAATTGATGAGGACAAAATAAGATGGGCTACTTCAGCCCTAGTTCAGTGGGAACTGGACACTCTTATGCCGCACCTGGTTGGAATATTCAGAACCTTTCTACCTCTGAGGTATATTTCCAGTAAGTGGAGAGAAGTAATTTCTATGTAATATGCACACGTTTACACAACACCTGTGAGGTAGTATACTCAGCACGTTTTTTTAACGTGGTTTCCCCAGTAGGCCTATTTCACGAATCGCTACTACGTAATTTTTAGTCACAATACTTATCAAACTGCATGAAGATTATTCGGGTTGATAATGTATATTCATTCGAACAGAACGTTTAACACATAAACGACGCCACATGGACAATAGAATTGGTAGCCAATAGAATTGATGTTATATTCAAGGCCATGCGGGTAGAGGGGATTTTCGAAGGGACTGACGGTCCTTTAAATGTATATTTTCTGAATAGAATATATAGTATATACATTAAAGAGACACAAACATGCATTTTTACTTAAGTATCTGAATGTGTATATACGTGGCTAATGTGTGCATATTACTTCGAACGTGACTTTTACAAATGCGATATCTCAGGAACAGTGATACAGAAAAAATAAAAAGGATTATTTTTGTAGAAAATTTTAAGATCTACAACTTTGGTCTGANCATTCAACAAAGGATTATAAATTGTAATAAATTAAAAAAAAATTTATTGCATCCCTTTCAATTGAAACATTCAAAATGGATCACTCCTCAAGTTGGTACCATTATTTTCAACATGACATTCGACTTGACACATTCTGTCTCAAATTTCCCTTCTTCCATTTATTACTTTGAGTGACCCACATGGCCTCAAACAAAAAAAAATTCTTTGGCTATCAGCCTATTCTGTTTTATATAAATCAAATATTACAAATGAGCTATGTCCTGTTGCCTGTCAAGTAAGTGATCATAAACAATTTCCTGAATTTCATAACCTCAAAAAACATGTTGTAACTAGAAACGATGGTAGATATCGATATGTGGTTATCACCATTAAGTTTGTCATAAAATTATTTGATCCTCAGACACAGTCATCAGTTTTCATCTATCTAGTTCAAAAACAGGAGTTTCCATTTGAAAGTGTCCAATTTGGCCCACTCAGTACATTAAAAAATTAATGGCCCAATGACGTTAGTGTTAATTTGGAAGTTTCGGGCAGTTCAATAAATACTTGAAGGTATATATAATGTGTTTTCTCACCTAATAGAAGACCAGCCAATGTCAAAAATACTAAGAAACACATTCACGCAAATAGTCATTAAAGCTAAACTGGATGATATGAAACTGGAAAATAGCCATGCCCTTCACAAGTAGTTTACTCACTGAAAAAGTTTCAAATTTCTTTTCTACCGATAAGGTGGTTATAAAAAAACAACTATGCAAAATAGTTTAGAATTTGTTTATGGAAAGGACATCTTCTACTGAAAACGTTAACTTATTGAAGTAATGAATGTAGCCGTTAGTTAGTACGTGGTAGATCATCATGAAAAATGAGAAATAAAACTTTCTTTAGGAATGTAGGCTTTCAGCTCTGGCGTCAATGTTTTGATTGGTTTCCGGGTTTTGCCGTGCTCTTCTTTGGTTGCGATCTCCAAACGTTTCAACTGTGGCAATCATCTTCAGGGTCGTGGTCGAAGTACTCTTCGTGACGTGCCAACAAAACTTTCTATTTCCGTAAAGGACGAATTTGCAGTAACGTTAGTCACAAATAAAAGTGGTAAAAAACATAGAGACTTTTATTTCTCATTTTTCACTTTAATTTATTGTTAGTCATTTAAATGAACATAAAAAAGCTGTAAATGTGTAGTGATGTTGTAGGTTAGGTTAGGTACAAAGTGAGTGGGTCTATTCGACCCTCCACCGCAACCCACAAGGGTTTATTGTGGCTCACACATGTTCACACTCAAGCAAATAAACCCAGCTTCTTAAACCCAGCTTCTCAACGAAGCCGATTAGTTTATACGAACCAACAACTATCAGCTCTTAGTATTTCCTTTTCCCGAAGGAACCAGTCCTCTCTACTCGGGAACAATACTTTGTTGACAGGAGGCATAAAGTCAGAGGTCATTTCCAGAATGCTGTGACTTCCAGTGTCAACCAACAGTCTGTTGCTCTCTGCATTAAATTGATTTGTGCAATTGCCAATGTGCACAATTCTATATGCAGTCCATCTAGCCTCTCTCTCCAGAAAAATTTGGAGAGAAGGATCTTCATGACCGCTGACGGTGTGTCTGATGGCCAGACAAGCCTGTCTCTGTAAGCCAGAGAGCTTCTTCTGAGCTGTTTTCTGTAAAGCCTCTGGCAACTAGGCAATTACTCCATAAGTGATCATTGGTCTGACAATTATCACATAAATCCAATGGATTCGTTTGGGACGTAAACCCCAAGTGATGTTGAGCTTCATTACCGAGTTACGGGATGAAGAGAGGATATGTTTTGTCATAACAGCAAGACATCCAAAAATTTCTCCCATACCCTTTGGTAGGTTTACATGATGCCGCAATTATAATCACTGAAAAACCTAGACTTCTCTTAACAAGAGTCGACGAAAAAATTATACGATAGCGAAAAAACGCAAGAGTTCCGGTTGATATCAAACCAAATCCTTTATTTTGTTCTATGACAATGTTGTATGTAATTGTGTTGGGAATAGTCACTAAAAGCTGAATCACAAAGATGAATATTAATGAAAAATGAAACTTTCTATTTTTTTTATATTTCATTCATCATTTTTCATGATGACAGACTACTACATTATAGACTACTACACTCAATCAAGACACACACACGGAAACTCATGTACACACCACACATACAATTACGTTGAATAATCAGTAGCGATGTAGAATGTATTAATAACTAAAAAAAAACGTTGTTAACCTCTCTTTTATAGACTACTACACTCAATCAAGACACACACACGGAAACGCATGTACACACCACACATACAATTACGTTGAATAATCAGTAGCGCTGTAGAATGTATTAATAACTAAAAAAAAACGTTGTTAACCTCTCTTTATTTCAGTTGGTAAAACATTAAACAAACGAGGACCTGCTGCATTAGGACCTTTGAGAGCAATCCGTCTGGAGATAGCGGAACCTGATATCATTTTTTTGCCTAGTGTTAATTGTATGAGTAGAACCTATTGAAAAAAATCGACTCTCATTTTGAACAACGTAGACACAAATGACCATTATGTACAGGGTAAAGTCAGTATTTCTAATTTCTTGAAGAACGGTTTACAGTACTCTATGTAAATTGTACCAGTGATTTGTTCAAGGACAAAAAAACAAGCACTACAGGAACATACATAAGGTGCTCTCAGAGCGGTGCCTGTCCGAAAATAGCGATTCACGTTGGATTTGAATCGCTTGAGATTAAATCCATTTGGAAAAACGTTGAATCCAAATCGATGAGCAGCCACAGTCCGTCGTGCATTTCCTATATGTACTGCTATATGTACTGCTCTTGGTGGAATTAAATGTGCCAAATCACTTGAACACCCATGAAAAATCCTAAAAAACCTATAAAAGAGAGACAAATCTCCAACCTTTCCTCGATGTTCCAGGCTATCAAGGTTGCAAGTGATGTTCGCATCTCCAATCAGGCGGATAGCTCTTTTCTAGGTGGAATCCAACAACTTCGGGGTATGTTTGGGGGCAGAACTCCATACATGAGAACAATACTCCAAAGAAGGTCCGATCTGAGCTTTATAAAGCATCAAAAGTTGCTGAGGTGTGTAGAGTTTTATGGTTTGGAACAGTGTTCCAAGCTTTTGAGAAGCAGTGACATGATTGTGCCAAGACATATTGGTGTCCATTTTAACCTCCAACAAACTTATCGAAGCAGAAAGCGGAATTGTCTGATCTGACATTATTATATCCGGTTCGGAAACATTTATCTTCTGGGATACTTCTGATGTTTTTGAGCAAAAAACGTCACCTGCATCAGTTGACCAACCACGGAAACAGACACCATAGCGCAACTTCTACTCCACTTCAGCATAGTTTATATTTTTTAGTTGATCTAAACTGATAATATAGGTAATATTTCGTAGCTTTAATGTTGAAGAATGCGATTTTAGTATGAGTCCATCGCAATGTGGTCTAAAATTCTGATTTTTGTCAATCTCAACATCTAAAAACTTGATACTTTTCAACAGTGGAAGCGGATGAGTATCCACATCAATTTATAATGGACCAAGAATGTTTTGAAAATTACTACATTTCTACCCCAACACCAAACCGTTATATTTAATACCTCGACACGTGTTTCAATCACCAAATGATCATCTTCATCACCAAATGATCATTTACTTCAATTCATACACCATTTTTGATACATTGGTACACTTTTAGCGGATTGATCAATTATTAATGGGTTTTGATTCCACTTTATGATGTTGGGTTTATTTGGTCGAGTGTGAATAGGTGTGAGCCACGATAAACCCCATGCGGGTTGCGGTGGAGGGTCGATAGACCCACTCACTGTGAACCTAACCTAACCTACCTAACCACTTTATGATCAAAACTTATTCAAAGTTCACAAAATTTACTGCATGATCTTGATTCGCTCCTCCAGTAACTTTGCCTTCACATTATTGGATACTTTCAGAAAATGATTCTCAAATAAGTTTCAAAAGAGGGATTTTATTCAACAAAAAAGTGGTAAGAAGAACTGCTCGAAAATTTTTTTATTTAGGCATACAAGTTACCGAGTGGTCTGTCTAATGGATTATTAACATGGCAATTTTAACTTCCAATTATCTCGAAAACTAATCGTTACAAAAATTTTCTTTCAACAGAGTTGTAAAGGTATTCGAAAGACCTTTAAAACAAGGTGTCACTCGACCTACTTTCCCTATCTAAATAAGGGTCGTCTGAAAGGTGTCCCCCTTTAATTAGAAAAGGACGTGTCCAAGCTTTTTTAAAAATCTTACTTTTTATATTCAAAAACGGCTTTGTTAAGTTTTGGTTGTTACACACTGTATAAAACTAGTTTCTTTAGAAGTTCAACATCTCAATAGATTATTGTAAACTATGTTCTCAATTAGACATTTTTTCCTCAATATGAAGTGTTAGAGAGAACATTTCTTGGCAATTCATAGACCTGGCTATTATGTAGGTGGGAGAAATCGAACTTTTCATTGGTCATAGGTTTAAGGTTATGTTAGGTTGGCAACAATATAAAGAAATAATTTGGTACGACTAGACATTTTATTGATTATCATTTCAACAATTATGGTTACAGAAGTATTGGGAATTAAAAAAAAAATAAATACTGTACAAATAAATTAACTAAAGATTGATATGAAACAGCTCACCATCAAAATGGTCAACCCAATTAGGGGTGAAATGTATAAAATTACCAAGATTCACAACAAAAACTGGTGTTTCAAACTATGATGAATACCTCTCTCCAATCGATATCCCTAATTCATCTAAGTCCTAGTTTCTGATGAGTTTATTCCAACTCAAAACACATGTGAGATCATATATTAAACTTGCATGCACATCTATACATAAAATCAATCGAATCAATATATTGCTTCTTGCAAAGGAGGGTGCTACAAGCAGCTTCATCGGACTGGATTCATTTGGTCGAGTGTAAATAGGTGTGAGCCACAATAAACCCTTGCGAGTTGCGGTGGAGGGTCGAATAGACCTCCTCACTTTGGACCTAACCTAACCTGACTTATATTGGGTCACTTCGAAGCAATGATCCGAGGAAATCCTTCATGCTCGCCCTGTCTGTCAATCCATACTTGATCAGTTTGTGGCTGCCGTCTTTTCAAGAATGAACCTTCTCACATTCAAATTCTTGCTGATTTTACCGTATTTCGGTTTGGCATATTTTTTCCCAACTGTCTGGTAGACTGGCAGATCACATTTAGCGATCATTACGACTAATATGGCGACTGCCCCCATAAAATCAGTATATGTGTATTCAGTTTCCATAACAAGAGCAGGAACCCATGATTTTGAAAAATCGTTAGTTCCATCCAAAATCCCCATGGATAAACAACAAGCTGCTGCAGCTTGAAGCGAAGGCTTCACCGGACTCATCTTTGGATCCATCAAACCCAACTCCAGTAAATACATTCCAAGAAAATGGTGCTCCTTTCGAGTTTGCGCGATTCTATTATACCGCCTCAGGAATATAAGGGGTGAAGGTCGTCCCAAACTGAAGTCCACCGTTCTCAATAACTCTCTTTCCATCTTCAGAATCTGTTTGATGGAAAAAGCGTTATCAGTTAGGTCCTTGAAGGTTTCTAAGTCGGGAATATCTATTTCTTCATATTTGGAAGCGATCAACAGGGCAGAAGTCCCGACAAGTTGAAGACATTTACGACCCACCGACTTCGTCACTTGCAGATACTTGTCGACGATCCACACGCAAAGATGGAGCGTCTCAGGTAACATTTTGTGCTCCATGTGGACTTCTATGACCCATTCGATTAGGACCGCGCGCATTTGGGGAGTGGTGGCGTGAGCTCTTAGGAAATTGTCCAGAATGTAGGAGTTATCTTCTAGGGATCTCAGATAGTTGAAAATTTCCGAAACGTATTCGGATATCTTTCCTGGTAACTGCTTTACACTTCCATCGAACTCTAACGAGGCGAGATGTCGGCTTAAATATGACGGTGAGAAGTTTTTTTTTTCATCATTATTTTCCTCATCACGTTTTCGCTTCAAAGTGCTTGCTTGGACTCTAATTCCATGTGGTTCTCTGACATGTACAAGCTCTATTGGAACATTTTTCGTTTTCATGACGGCGGGAATTTGATTCATCATAATTCTGTCTCGGGGGGTACATGGGGCCTTATTCGTGTCCCTCGTCCCGTTACTTGTTCGTCTGAGATCGGTTTCCGTGGATTCAACCATAGTAGCGTGCATTGAATGTTCGTCGTTTCTTCGATGAATCATTCTGAAACAAAATTGAATGAACATTGTAGCAAAGCTTGATAATTAATGATTGCAAGGAATATTTTACCATTGTATAAATCTCTTCAGTAGAAGTGATAACATCAATACAGCTCGTCAAATGTAGGAAGAGCTTTCTAAATTTCGTTATGGTCCTACCCAGTAGATGTGCGCTCACTAGAAAACTATGCGAGAGAGACAGAGAGAGAATTCTCAAGCCTCTTCCTAGCTTTGACAAGTTGTACAGAAGTCTCGTTTTAAAATCTATACTTGTAATTGCTAGAGTCACCTAACACTCATTCATCTCTGTTTTGCTGTACTGGGAAGTCCTAGAAAGCTAAAGTTTGGCACATAGGTGCTTCTTAGACCTTTGATGCGCATTAAGAAGAGATAGTGGTAAAAGGGGCGCGTTTACATATGAAAATTACCTTTTTATTACTGTTTCTCCGTACCGCTACATTTTCGGAGGCTGAACATTCTGAATGTAGAATCGTTTTATGTTGTAGATGTGCAATAAGAAAGAATTTTCCAATAATCCAACTGCGGACCCAGCCGCAGAGGAAGAGGGGAGTTCATAAAATAAAGTTACCTTTCCATCACTGTTTCTTCATACCGCTATATTTTCGCAGGCTGAAATTTTGTACGTAGTGTAACGAATCTGAAGCCGGCCCTGACCAATACCTCAGCCAGCAAACACATGACTCACCGCGAACTGCCGCGAAAAGTATAGATGAGTACCGAAACCACTAAGGAATCTAAAACGATCGTTACCGATATAGAAGGTCGGCTCCTCGTTCGGAGAGGAAGTCTGTATTCAAAAAGCGAATCGAGCGGTTAAACAAAGAATTCGAACAGTGAAGATAAATTAATTATAGTTGCTAAGTGATGAATATAAATTAGTTGTGATAGTGAAATATTGTTAAAAATAAATTTGTTTAGGACAGTTAATTCTTTGATTCGTTACAGTAGGTTCGCTTTGTATTATAGATGTGCAAAAAGAAAAGATTTTTAAATAATCCAACTGAGGCGCCAGCCGCGGGGGAGAAGGAGCATTCATAAAAATAAATTTACCTTTTTATCACTGTTTCTCTTCACCGCTAAATTTTCGAAGGCTGAAATTTTGTATGTCGGTTTCTTTTATATTGTAGATGTGCAATAAAAGAGAAACTTCGAATATTCCAACTGAGGCGCCCTTCTGGGGATAAAAGGGGCGCGTTTATTTACATATGAAAATAACCTTTTCATGACTGTTTTTCTGTACCGCTATATTTTCGGAGGCTGCAATTTTGTATGTAGGTTCATTTTATATTTTATATGTGCAATAAGAAACGATTTTTCAATATTACAACTATGGCACCCTTCTGGGGATAAAAGGGGCGCGATCACATATGAAAATTACCTTTTCATCACTATTTTTAGCACTGCCATATTTTCGGAGGCTGAAATTTTGTATGTAGGTTCGTTTTATAGTGTAGATGAGCAATGATGAAGGATTTTCTAATATTCCAATTGGGGTGCCTGCCGCGGGAGAAAAGCCGCGTCTTTAAAACAAAATTATTTTTACGTCACTCTTTCTCCATGCCCTTAAATTTCTGGTGGGTGAATTTATATTTAATATCAGCATTGCACCCGTACGGGGCCGGGGCGGCTCGCCAGTCTACACATATATATATTCAGCCTGGTTCACAAGTACCACTTTACATATATCTCCAAATTTCTGGTTCGCGGATGATTGTTGCAGTTTTCGGTTTATGAAGTGTTTGTTTTAATGTTACTATTAAAATTTTGCGGCCTGACCTGTTTCAGTATTTTTGTTCAATTTTTGCAAATCTACGGGATTTTCTTCGTTGCGGGATCCTCATAAACGTTTTTATATACATAAAATGAATATCTTTCGGAAAGATAGGTTTTGGCTATCTGTCCATATTCATGCATATACATATACTTCATATAAAAGTATTTGTCTCGAAACTCTTTTTTCTTTCGTGTAATTCAATGTTTATATGAAAGTAGCTGTTTCGAGAGCGCTTTTGTTCCAGTTTGTGTCTGAAAGTTACTTCTTTGTACAGAGGTTTTTTTAATTGATTGCTTCCTTCCTTTTTCTGGAATTGTCCCATATTTTGTTTTAATGATGGACAAATAGAAAGTCAAAGCCTTCATTTCCCAAAAATTAATGTATCCTAAAAATAAACCCTTTTCAAACTTCACGATCCATCAAGGCAAATATCTCATGGAATCAGCCGATACTTGATGAAAATCTATAACGTATTCAAGAAACACTTTATTGTGAGAAGAAGCTATTGTATAGAGAAAAATGTGTTGCGTTTTGTAAAACTGTTTAGTGAAAATTTCCCAATAGTGTTTCTAAAACAAGGCAAAGTTAAATTTTCTACTAGGAATTAAACATCGTAAAAATATTATATTGTTCCTGGTGTATTCAAAGAACTTTCCAAAACTGTGAACTTTCAGAATAGCACAAAATTGATGATATAGTGTAGGCAGTGCCGGATTTGCCACGTAGCAAGAGTAGCAAATGCTATGGGCCCCGCGGTCCAACACCTGTCTGACCGTAAAAAAAAATATCAATTTAGATAGGAGTGTTAAAATATTTTGCTAGGTTATGCTTCACTCCCACCTGAAAATCTAAAACTAGATTTTGTCACGTTAAATCTCATATCTGACATTAATCATTTATACAGGGCTATTCAAATTCGTTTATGTGCATGGGGATCTCGTGAACAATTAGAGATAGTGTCGGTTGGAGTGTGGCAAAGTTACGTATTTTAGAGACCTATTCAATGATGTCAAAAAATCAAAAATAGCTCTTTTGATTCTGGAGGTATACAGGAAAAACCAAAAAATCCCAAATTATTTTTTTGCCTATATCTTCTTTATTCGCAGGCATATTGAAAATCTGTCCACATTTTGCTATTGGCACTTGATGTGGGATATCAGAATATATCCATGAATCTTTTATATAGGGTGTCATCTGACTTGGGCCACCCCTATCTTTGAAGTTTTGAATACGGGCCTGTATTTTTTGTTGTAGTTTTTGTATCGTCGACGTAAACTTCATACTTAGAAATCAAATTCAATTGTATATTTCGGGAATACTTGATTATAATTGTGGGAATTATTCCCTTTCAAATTACAGCCTTGGAAATTGGTTGACTGAGTTANGCTCGCGAAAATTTTCAAATTTTGAAAAATGGCTCGGACTATCAAGAATCTTGGACACTCCTGGTATAGTTTATACGAAGTCAACTCGAATGACATAAAAACAAAGTAAATAGTTACTGAATGTCGGCAGTTTTTTTTGAAAAATGGCTCGGACTATCAAGAATCTTGGACACTCCAAGTTTATACGAGGTCAACTCGAATGGCATAAAAACAAAGTAAATAGTTACCAAATGTCGGCAGTTTTTTGTATGGCATGGGCGGCTTGGTATGCATACGAGGTCTAATCATTATTTTTATGTAGGAGGTTGTATATAGTATCAACTAGTAAATTCATCAGAACCGGTACATTAGTCTTATTTAGCTGTTTGGATTGACTTCGTATAAACTATAGCGGATAGGCTGGCATAGGCGTTCAAAAGTACAGGAGTAAGATTCGATTGTGAAATATATAATCTTCACTATTTTGGATTTACCCTACGCCAGAGATTACAGGCACCGTTCAGTTACAGGAAGGTTCAAAGCAGGAGATTCAAACATATTTTCAACAACTCCCAAAAATATAACAACATTAATCGTACGGCAATGGAATAAAAGAAATAATTAATTATCATCAATACAGCCACCGTCAATTCAGAAACCAATGATTATAAAACTGAATGGTTGATCGAATAGTTCTGCAAGAGAAGAAACTCAACTATCTTTTAACATTACGGAAGTGTCAGCTTTGCAGAATGTCAACAATAAATGAATGCACGTCAATCTGAACCTTTACGTTTTTAGGAACGGTCAGCGTTAGTTTTACGTTCACGTTACTTAACCCAGCTTCATTTCGTCAATTCGAGTAATGTAACTCGAGGTACATCAGTTTCAGCGCTGAAGGAGTAATGCAAATAAATATTATTATTATATTATTCAAGCAGTCATCTTAACTGAGGTATTAAACTCACCTTGATACATATTTCAAAATTTTCTTGATCGAAAACTGCTTCACCGCACACTATCTCCTGCTCAAGTTCCTAATTGACAGATCGTAAATCGATAACAGATAGTTGCTGCCAAAATGAAAACTATATCTGGATATTGAGTTGGGCGGAATTATTAAAATCAAAAGGATCATTGATTAAATGCTATAGGGGGCCGTGTCTACCTGTCTACTTTAGGTACTGCTATTATTTACTTATAAACTACCTGGGAAAATGAAAATTCAGTAAAGTTCTGGGAAAAACAACCAAAATTCTTTTCAATAATTGGGATTTGAAGTTAACACTTATTTTACGTACTTGTGATGCACTGTTTGGAACCTTTGGTGTAGTAATGTATATTACTGGAGTTTTTTTCCAACACCAAACCGTTATTTCAATACCTCGACACGTGTTTCGATCACCAAGTGATCATCTTCAAGAGGAAGAATAAACTCTTCTGCTATTGAATATTACTGGGGTTTTTCCCAACACCAAATCGTTATTTTTAACACCTCGACACGTGTTTCGATCACCAAGTGATCATCTTCAAGAGGAAGATTAAACTTTTATCTTCCTTGGTGATCGAAACACGAGTCGAGGTGTTAAAAATAACGGTTTGCTGTTGGGGAAAAACTCCCGTAATATTCATTACTACACCAAAGGTTCCAAACAGTGCATCATAAGTATCTTCTACTCTTGGGTAAAAAAGTGACACAAAACTTGTAATTTCCGAGCATTGAAAATAGTAAACGCAACATGGATTGTGTGCTCTGTTTGGTTGACCGTAACAGTTGAAACACAACTATCTTTTGACATAACGGATACGTCATAGCTATGCAGAGAGACATTTATTAATGAGTACCTACACGTTACGTTTTCACGGAAAGGTCGGCTTAGCGTTACGTTTACGTTACTTAACCCATGGTGCAAATGAATAATATTTTTCTATTATTCAAACAGTTATGTTAAGTGATAAGTGAACTTACTTTGATACACGTTTCAAAATTTTCTTGAGTGGAAGCTGGTCCATTACACACACACACTTTTGCTTAAGTTCTTAACTGACGGAACGGATATCGAAAACAAATAGTTACTGCCAAAATGAAAATTATTACTGAATGTTGACTTGAGTTGAACTTTCATGTAAAACAAATGAAGCAATAATGAAATGATATGCTGGAGGGACGACTACCTGTTAGTAGTTTGCATTGCTATTACCTATAAACTACCTCGGAAAATTATATTTTTCGAAGAAAGCAACTGAATGTTGAATCTCATTGATTGGGATTTGGATTAAGACTCTAATCCTCTTTAACAATTAATTCAAAAACAGTGAGATTTATGAAATGACAGATAGGTACTAACAATAAATACATGAATAATAATAATTCATGAAATATTACATTTTTGCAATGAGACGTTGAAATATATCAATTATGAAATAAACAGTACAGATATCGATCAATCAGTTTTTAATAATTAAATCTGAGGGAAAAGGTGTAATTGGATCAAAACTGAAACGTTCACAATTGAATCAACAGTTGAGAGGAACGAATGAAACAGATGTACCTAGAAAATATCATGTATATTTGTGTATTAGTTTTGTTAACAGCATTATCTATTCATCACAGTTTCTCCATGCCCCTAAATTTTCAGTGGGTGAATTTATATTTAGTATCAGCATTGCACAGGTGCGAGGCCGGGGCGGCTGGCTAGTTTACAAATACTAGAACATTTATGAAATATTGAAATTTATAAAAACGTATATTATTTTCTGTATTTTCTATGGAATCCTGTATATATTGACATAACATAAACTTACTGAAAAACTCACGAGAATTAAGTATGAGTATAATTATCCACTTATATTCAGCTATATTTGAAAACCTTCACTGTATATCGTAACAAATTCCAGTACAAAAGCAAGTTCGAATAGGGTATTTTGTTGAAATAATCATATATATTTCATTAAATTGTACTCTTAATTTATTCCTTTATTTAAAAGTATTCAGTCGAATAAAGAAATCACAATGACATAAAGAAATCAAAGCAACAACAATTAAGAGTACGTAAACTAGAAAAAAAATTTTCCATGACTCCTTCTCTGTTCTTCTCGTAGTCATTATTAGTCTCGAAAAGTGAATTAGACTTTTCAAATAGCAAAGTGGAACTCATGAGAACTGAAGCACAATTTGTTCCTCTTTCTTCCATTTGCCTGTCCTGCTGATGACAGAACAAACAAGTTACAAGCACTCAAGATCACTCATTTATTTACTCATATTGACTTATTACTTGTAACTTATATAATTGAAGAAAAACATACATATTCATCCTTTCAGCTTTTTTGCAAACTTCACATTCAGCGCAGCCTTCAATTTCGGATTTGAACTAATTCGTCTGTTTTCTTCAAGAGCATACTTCTCTCTGATATTTTGAAATTGGGAAGTCTCACTGTGTGCTAAAATGTCCGCCAGCCTCTCTACTACTTCTTTGAAGTCGCAATAGACGTATTTCGTGAAGCATACAAGACTAGGCGTCCACAACGTGGACAAGTCTATAACCCCATCCAGAATACCCCTGGATAAACAGCAAGCCGCAGCAGCCTGGAGAGAAGGCTTGACATGGCTAATTTCATATTCCATGAGCGCCAGCTCCAGGATGTATTTGCCCAGGGTGTGATGAATGATGCTGGCCCGAGAAATATTGTTATATTTCCTCAAAAAATTGAGAGACAAAGGTCGGCCCAAATTAAAATTCAGGGCCTTCAATATGTTGCTCTCCATCTCCAATATCTGCCTCCCAGAATATTTATAGGAACAAGCCTGTTCCAAATCTCTGATGTCCGGAAGATGCCTTTCTTCATATTTGCAGGCTATTAGAATGGCTGCTATACCTACCAACTGGAAATTTTTGCGCCCTACTCTCCTGTGATCTTGTAAATATCTATCCACAATCGCTACGCAGATGTGGAGAGTTTCGATAATCATTTTGGCGCATGTATGGACTGCTACTAACCAGTTAATAAGCATAGCCCGCATCGTAGGATTCGTTCTGTGGCCATCCAGGAAGTTCTTTCGAATGGGAAGTTCCGTTTCTTTCTTTCTGAGGAAACTGTATATTTCTTTAACATACTCTTTAACCTCAGATTCGTTTCTGAAATTGACATCAGGATCGTGAATAGCATTCATCTTTTCTTCGTCCTTGACAACAGTTTTTTTGGAATGAGTTTTTGAGCCTTTGAAGTATTTTATGGTACACCAAATATATCTTCTTCAATTTAACAGTAACAAACACTTTATTTAGTCCAGTCGATTCAACAATTTGGTTCTGAAAACCGTTTAATATACAATACACAAACTGGTAACGAATAATATGTCGAACTGCAAAATGGTTGATTTTATTCTGTTATATGTTCACAAAGGTAGATGGTTACAGTACCTGAAATGATTTTGGGATATTTTATGAGTAATCCATAAGCAGTGGCGGACCTAGAGGGGGTACACTAGATATAATTTGATGACATTTTGGGACAATTTGGAACATAAACACAGGTCATTTCTTCGAATCGTTAAATATAAAAATAAATCATTGAATATGTAGAATTTAATTAGTAACGACACCCGAACAAGTCATTTGTAAAAGTGTTTAGTAAAAATCTCACAATGAATTGTTTTTTTGAATAGGTGTTTCATCATAGTTGTACCGTTCTGTTTATAGTGAAAAAGTAAAAGTGTCTCTAGTCGAATCTTGTGGTTTGTGCTGATACGAGATGAGTGGCAGTGGAGGAAAGAAAAGGCAAAGACAATTGAAAAGAACAGTAAGAAGCTTATTCCTATTATTGAAACGGTCATTTTATGAGGTGCCCAAAACATACCCTTAAGCGGCACAGGGACGACGGTATTATTGAGACAACTAGGAGCTGTTTCAGCGAAGAAAATTTCAGGGCTAAAATTCAGAGTTGGCGCTGGTGACGCCCTTCCAGCCTCACATATATCAAATTGTTGAATAAATGCCAGTTACATCAGCAAAACCAAGCAGAATCAAGTTATAGAATGATGTGGCGAAGTTATCACTGCCGAGATAGATAATAAAAGAGTCTATGTTTCCTACAATAATGGCAGATGAGACCACATATTTGTCTATTAAAGAACAGCTTACAATTTGCATAAGGTATTAAAATTGAAGATTTCATCAAGTTTGTGGATGTGGTGGATCTCTGTGGTGGAAATTTAGCTCACACAATTTTACTTACAAGAGATAGGTAAGATTAGCCTTAATTTGGCTAACTGCTGAGGACGAGCTTTTGATGGATCCTCCAATATGAGTGGAATATTTAAGGGTGTGCAAGCCCGCATCTCCCAGATTGATCCTCTTGCAATCTACAACCACTGTGCACACCATAGGCTAAACTTGGCTATAAGCAAAGCTTGTTCTGTTGTTGGCATCAGAAATGCCATGGAAGTTATATATTCCCTGGCAAATGTTTCCGTGACTCCGCTACAAGATTCAAAGCTTTGGAAGAAGAGATGCAGGAAAATCATGACCTCAAGCCAGAAAAACTGTAAAACAAGATGGATAGAAAGGCACGAATCCGTGTTGACGTTCATGGAACACTTTCCTTCACTCCCCACTGTCCTCGAAGACTTTAGTAGTTCACCGGAAGGTAGAGGCAGTAATGCATTTATTTGGTTTCCTGCACTCTGTTCTGCCGTCAGAGTTTTTGATTAGTGTACTAGTGTTTGCTGAGGTACTTGGAGTAAGTTTACCCTCAGCTCGCAAACTCCAAGCAGAATACATGGATGTACTGCAAGCTTCGCAGCTTGAATCACAATACAATTTGGAAACAATTGTGGAAATCAAATCCCGAAAATAAGTTACCTAGACACCCGACGCTAGCTTACAAGTTTGCCGATTCTCTTCAAAACATCAGGATTTTACTGCAGCTGTTGTCCACTCTTTCTATGACTACCAGTGCAGCAGAAAGACTTTTTTCAGCTTCGAGTCGTTTAAAAACAAATCTACGCAATTCAATGACTGAAGAGAAACTAAATGGTTTGGCTTTACTGCACATACACCAAGATATTTCCAATACAATGAAAGCTGAAGAAGTCTTGGACGTACCTATACATCAGGAAGCACAAGAAAAAATTATCTCTGAAGATGTTAGAAAAAATTTACATAGGTATCAAAAAATATTATGTTTGTATTATAAAATATTATTATGTTCGACCATTAATAAATTGAATTACTAAAAAGTAATCATACTCTACTTCTTAGTTCATTATGCTTGTACCTGAACAGGTTTTTACTCAACGGTAATGATGATAAGGGTTATTTTCAATATACCAACATATTTTCCTTATTGTTACTTGTCATAGAATATTTAAAACTAAGCAATGGTTTTACATTTTTTTTAAATGTGTTTTTTCCTGAATGCATACTACTGAACATCAATAGAAAACCTCCAAAGACTCAGTGCTTTGTGGAGGAGTTATGTACCCCATACTCTGAGTTGTAAACTCCCCCCACAAATGATTTTCTGGATCCGTCACTGTCCATAAGCACAGGTACTCTGCAGTACCCTTCCATCAATTATTCAAAATGATAGTGAAATTTTACAATGATTTGAATATTCTGAAATTGTAAATATTCCTAAAGTAGGTAAACACTGCAGATTTGAGGTCATTCAGTGCTTTGTTCTTCGTAGATGATATTGGTGGATTCATTTTCTTTTCTTCTAGGTATTTCAATGGGTTTAGGTTTTGGCAGACGCCTTGCTTTTGAAGCTCGTGAAAATTCATTTCTTCCAATTGACACGTTTTTTTCAAGAAATCGGATTTCGCCCAAGAAGGTCGTGTGTTGCTTTGTAGAACATTTTCTGATAACATGCGTGGGATTCATTCTGAAACAATTATTCATAGCTCAGGTACTTTTTCAAAGCTCGACGTGGTTGTTTATTGATTTCTAATTGATTACATCATATAGCTTAATCCAAAAGATATTAGGAGAACAAAAGGAGTAGTATTAGATAAGCAGTCCGATTCTTTTCCAGTCTCCAATAAAAAAAAAACAAAAAAAATCTACCAATCCATACAGGGTGTTAATTAAGAATGTACCATACATTTAACAGACGATTCTTTAGGTAATTTCAAGACGAAATGTTCATATAAACATGGGTCCGCAAATCCTTCGTTCTCAAGATACAGGGTGTTAATTAAGTATGTACCATACATTTAATAGACGATTCTTTAGGTAATTTTAAGACGAAATGTTCATATAAACATGGGTCTGCAAATCCTTCGTTCTCAAGATACAGTGCGTTAAAATAAAAATTAAAAAGTTATTCGTAAATATCCTGTACTTAATTTTGTTGTAATTTGGCAATGGTATTTATAATGCTAAGGAGCTCATTTAGCTCGAACGTGATTCAATTTATTAAGTCCAGTGGCGTCTCTAGCGGGATTTGAACGAATATTTTTGACTTCAAAATGTACGCCACTAACTTTTGAGCAATTTTTCTCATTTCATTGGATTGAACAATTAGAAATACAACTTTTTTGTCTCTTGAATTTTTTTCGTATCTTGCTTATTTTTAAGAAAAAAAAGTCGATTTGATTGCATATCCCTGGACCTCACAAGGAATAATATGGGGAATTGAATGTTTTTTTTGGAAATTATTATTTTTACAATTTTTCATTACTAATTATGTAACAACAACAACAAATATTAAATAACATTAACATCTAGACTAATGAATTGCACTAAATTAAGTGTTGGAAATGGCCTCCATCGGCTTCAATACAACCGTCTAGCCGCCGCATCATTGAATTTCGCACTCTTCTGAAAATACCATAAATAATAATCAAGGGTTGCCTTGGAAAACGATTGCAGCATTCAATAAACAACTTGACAGTTTTGTCAACTTTTTAAGCTTTTAATTTATAATTGTTATAAAAAGTGTGTTCAGTGGTTATTTTTCGAACCATTTTTGTAAAACATGTTTCAATTCACTAACAGTGAAATGACAGATATGCATTTATGTTATGGGATGGCTCATGGAAACTCAAATGTTGCAAGACGCATTTACCATGAAAGATTTCCTCAGCGTGTAGTGCCTAGTAGAAGAACTTCTGTATGTCTCCATGCACGACTTTCTGAAACGGGCAGCTTTAAAAGATCAACGGTTGTCATTGGGAGGCCTGCAACGGTACGAACAGTTCAAATTGAAGAAGCTGTTTTAAATGAGATTGAAGTAAATACTCATGCCAGTACTCGGAAAATAGCTAAAGAACTGAATATTACCCATGTCACAGTGTGGCAGATTTTAAGAGCCCCTAGATCCCTATCACATGCAACGTGTGCAAGCTCTATTGTCCAGAGATTTGCCTGTAAGACTAGCTTTTTCTAATTGGTTACGCGGTAAAATAAGAAGAAATCCAGGTTTCCTAAGTCGAATATTGTTTGCAGATGAAGCTCGTTTTTCTCGCAATTCAATTATTAACATCCACAACAATCACATATGGGCCGAAAACAATCCACACGCCTTGATAGAAAATAATTTTCAAGAACAGTTTTCTTTTAATATTTGGGTTGGAATTGTCGGTGATCATCTCATTGGGCCTCACTTCCTTCCACCTAGACTCAATGGAGAAGAATATCGAAGGTTTATAGAATTTGTTTTACCTGGACTTTTAGAAGAAATTCCAGTCATGGAAAGATTCCGTATGTGGTTTATGCACGATGGTGCTCCACCACACTTTAGTGTAGTGGCACGCCAATTTTTGGATGATAATTACCATAATCGCTGGATTGGGAGAGCAGACCCACACCTATGTCAAAGCTTGATCTGCTTATGTCATCGATGACATCGTAATGACATTCATTCATCTATTTGATTTAATCCCAGCCAAGAGGAATCTTATTTGAATTGAAGGGGTTATAGTTTTAGGAGTGATCAAGCTTATTCCGTGACATTAAAAATCTTAATTCATGAATGAAGTGTGTGTAAATGAGTTGGAATCAAATACATACTAGTTTTTATTATTTAAACAAGTGTTATGTACATTGCAATAGTCCATTCAAGATAAATAATTTACTAACCCACTATTCCCCAAAAAATAATTTTCTAGTTACAAAAAATAAATGGGGATATACTATAAATAAAAACACTTAGCCCAATACAAATACAATAAACTAAGGTATGCGACATTTTATGAAATAACTGAGTACATGAGGTTTACAATTATACATGTGAATGGAGTCAAAAAAAATTTACAATCAAGTTTTTGAAATTACATTTAGTTAACATTTGTGACACCGAAACTTTCAAAAATATTGCAGAATTACAGATGCAGAAAAATGTAGGTATAAAAAAATTAAAGATAATTTCAATTTACTTTCCAGGTATATAAAAAAAGGTTCATTCAACCACAGATTTTTTGAATACAAATTTGCACTCGAACTGAACCTGTAACCCCAGTATTTTTGAATATCAAAGATACATAAAGACAAAATAGGGTGATAAAAAATTGAAAACATTTTGTGGATATTTCCAAGTTGAATGAATAAAATATAAGTATTCGGAAGCTTTATATTTGGCAAAAGGAACTTCGGTAAAAATTTTCCAAAACTAAAAGGACAAAAATCAAAACTTGGAATACAAAGCAAAGGAACAAGAGTTCCTTAAGTAAACACTAAATACTCATATTCTCTTAACATTTGTTGCATGAATAAAATGATCTACAATTTCTATTTCTTAAATAAGTATTTACAAAATATATTAAAATCATATATAAAACCTATTGAAAAACGAATTTTAAGGTATTACAAAAACACATTTTACAATACATTCGACAATAACTTCCCGTCTAGAGTGGTTGTTTATCTAAATTCAATGGCAATTACTTCATGGAAAAATGAAAATGAAAAATATGTACACGCTGAATTACCGTCATACAAAGGCGCTGAAGTGTGATATAGAATTTGTGACATGATGATCAGCAATTCAGAACATTATAGCAACCTTCACATCTTGACGTACGTTTTCACAAATTGATTTAAAACACTAAGACTAAATTGTTATTATAAGATGAAGTGAATTTTTCTAAAACCCACTGAGGTAAATGTTAAAATAGAAAAATACAATCGACCTTTTTCTGTTGAAAACAAAATAATTACACAGGATGTATCATTAGTGGCGACTTCAACGATATACTCTATAAAAAAGGTTTATTTAAAGATATACCCTATGAATGGCTACTAATAGATTATAAATAACTCCAGTGGCATCGCAGAGGATTACCTGGTTGATACATGTAGTAAATTGCATTGTAAATCACAAGTTTATTGTTAGTTATCTTTATGTTATCATCAGTTTGAACCTTCAAAGATACAAACTGTCTGGTTGAATTGTTTTATTGCATTATCATTATCAAACTCATTTTTAATTTTATATAAAGAGCATATTGTTTTGTTTATCAAAAAATTTATTAATGAAATTGTCAGAATCTAAAATAATCAATCACTTATTTTAGTGGAAATTTGCAGGATATAAAACGGAAGAAACAAGACTGTTGACTTTTCAATTTTGTCACCTGATGATGTCAAACTTACAATAAACTAGTGGTTCACAATGACACCGTATACATCTACCAGGCAACCCTTTATAACTCCACTGAAATAATTTCAAATGTATTTACACCTTCATTACTCTTCGGAATCTGGGAAAAGAATCGTAAGTAATAAATAAGAAACGGGTTTCAGTCTTTGAAATCTTGCTCTTTGAAAAACAAAGCAGGTTAACACCATGAAATCATCACTTATGATACACCCTGTATAACGCTCGCAAAATTTCAAATTACGTAACTTATTGTCACTGTTATCTCAGGGCCAAGCTGTTGTAATTCATCACAGAAAAATTTCACTCACTGTCAGTTCATTGAATGTTTCATCACTCAATACTTTTGGCATTTGCATTCGAAATCAATACAGTAGGATACAGGGAAATATTCCTTGCTAAATTTATTAATTATAAATGTACAAATCAATTCCTATTCGAAAATAAAAAATGTAAAACAAAGTATAGTTAAAAAATATACAATTGGGAAATTAAAGTTCCAACGGCACAATGGTAATATCCAGTGGTTCAGTCACTTTTTGATCGGTATCTTTACGGTAGCCAGTTTCTTAACTAACACCCCTTGCAGTTTTGGATTCAAACTGATCTTGCTGTAGCTAGAGCTGGCATATTTCTTCCTGATGGTCTGATATTTGGAAGACTCGCTCTTGACTAAAATGTTGGCCAGACTCACTATCACATCTTTAAACTCGGAATATTCATAGTTCGTGTAGTGGACCAAGGTGGGGGTCCACAACTTGGGCAGTTCCATCACGTCATTGAGAATTCCCATTGACAAGCAGCAAGCCGCTGCTGCTTGCAGCGAAGGATTCACGGAACTCATTTCGTACTCTAACAAGGACAGCTCAAGCATGAATTTACCCAGCGTGTGGTGATCACTGCGCGCTTGAGCTATTTTATTGTATCGTCGTAGAAAGTGCACAGACAGGGGGCGTCCTAAGCTAAAATCTAGTTTCTTCAGTATATCCCGCTCCATGGTCAGGATCTGTCTTTCAGAAAAAGTGTTATCGCAGATGTACACAAAATCCTTCAAGTCAGGAATATACATTTCTTCGTACTTGCTAGCAACCAACATAGCTGACGTCCCGACCAGCTGAAGAGAGTTGCGTCCTACGTGCTTGTTCTTCTGCAGATACCTATCCACGATTGCGACACAAAGATGTAGCGTTTCCAGATACAGTTTGAAATTCATGTGGACCTCGACGAGCCAGTTAACGAGAATGGCTCGCATCCTAACCGTAGTTTCGTGCCCTTCGAGAAAATCTTCGCGAATAGGAAACTTGGTCTCCATGCTTCTGAGATAGTTGAAGATATCCTCGAGGTACTCCGTGACCATGGCTGGTTCATTCTTAGAACCCTCATCGGGATCAATGATGGCAAGCTGCTTGGCCGAGTAAGATTTCAGAGTTTCTCTGCTGGAAGTTTTACCTTCGTCCATGATGTTCTTCAAAATGCTCTCCTGCCGTTTGACCCCTGGCTTGGCAGCAACATTCACGATCTTATCGGGTATCTTTTTAGTTTCTTTAAACGGGAGTGGAGCGGTCGTGGTTTTTTTAGCCGCTGCTTGGGGAGGCGGCATAGTCTGCTTGGGTTTGGCTTGGGCCAGAGTATGGCCATTCGCAGGACGAGACGCTTGTGTTGGTGCAAGGGTGCCATTTTTCTTAAGGGGGACGGCGGTTTTCTGGAAAGCCGGGAGTTTGTTGCCCAACTCGCCCAAAGCAGCCCTCTTTGGGACTATTTTAGCTTGTTCCACTAGAGCGGATTTAGCAGCAAACCTAGAAGTGACATTTTCTTGGTTGACGATTTCGTCCAAGGTACGTTGTCTCAAAGCCATACTGAAACAAATAAATGAATTAGGAATAAACTTTTTTTTTTGTTTTTTCGCTTCCCAATAGTAGGTACATGGAAAACGAAAAAGAAACGAAAAAAAATCAGATGAAAATTAAAAGATTCTTCCTAAAAAGTACGATCTCTAATGTAAATTGGATAATAATACGTTCTTTCTCAATGTGTGCGCCAAACATTCATATGCAAAGAAAGGTTCACTGAACAATAAACTCCCCACAAAAAACTTTTAGCATGAATATATGATGAATTAATGAAAACTTTCACGGCCAGGAACATCTGCATTTTTTTATAGGCACATACTACACGCTGTAAGGAAAACTAGAATTATATGTATGTTGCAGACCATGGCCTATAAATCCGAAGAATATCTTTGACATATTAAATATATGAACAAAAATTCGTTCATAAAAATTTTTTAAGACAAAGTTTTATAGAACTGATATGCAAGTTCGCAATATGATTCAGGAAATTAATAAAATATATGTTGTACTATTCAGAATGAAAATTTACAGGAACAAAGTGAAAATCATTAGCCCAAGGGGTATAAAGTATCACTTTTTAATCCAGCCACATTAATATAAAAACATGTTTTTCAACACTGAGATTTCTATTTGACCATATTTTCAAAAGTCTTAATTTTTTAATGAAAGAATAACACCACTTCTGAAATTATACCATCCAGTTTCACCGAGATATTCAGAAATGTTTACAACTTAACAAATGGAGAAAATAAACTCCCAAATCTGTGGGTAGTGAAAACAAATTAGCACCAAAATTGTTATAAAGTAAAACACCTACCGTTTTGAATTTGGAAATTATAATATGATAATAAAGATATTACTTACTCCCTATATTTGTATTAAATTTTTATATCAAGACAATGGCCAAAACTGGAAGTAACATAATACAAATAATTAACAAGAGATCAAAAAGAAATATATTGAATGACATGACTGTGAATCTTTTTTGAAATTTGCAAAAAACACTGGTAACTTTGTTATTATTGGAGTTAAGAATTCGTTTAAATTTCCAAACAAGTAACTTAGGTTCATTAATATCCAAAAATTGATGAAACATTGAAGGAAATATCTTCAGAATCGTGATTAACCGTATGATGAAAGTTTCAGAAAACCTTTTATAAACAACAATATCTAAAATTCGTTTACTAATCTTTAGTACAAAACTGAAATACACTTAGATTACACATGTAAATCAAAATTTTCTCCAAAAGTACAAATCCCTGTCGTTAGAAATTTTTGAAAATTAAGTTTCATTCCGTTAATAACGAATTCTGAAAATCATCCTTTCAATGATTTATCAATTCTTGTATACTAATGAGCCTTAACGCTACCTGTTTGGAAATTTAAATGACTTCTCAACTCCAATGGTTACTTCCTATATTTGTATTAAATTTGTAATTAGGTCAGTGTCTAAAATTGAAAGTAACATAGTACAAACATTTAACAAGAAATTAAAAAGAAACATAATGAATGACATGACTTTGAATAGATGAAAATGTATTCTTTACAATTCTGCAAAAAGAAATATTGAAATCATGTATAAAACAAAATATATAAAATTCCTTTTTCAATCTTTAGTACACAACTGAAATATACTTAGATACAAATTAAAAATCAAAACCATCTCTAAAAGTACATACAGTTCCTAGTCATTTGAAATTTTTGAAAATTTAGTTCAATTCCGTTAGCCGCGCCCCAAGTACATTTTTGGATTTTCAGCATTATCAAAATTCAAAAACATCATCTATGAGACATCGTTTTCAAATAAATATGATGTATTACAGATATTACCTTAAAATGTATTTCAAAAAAATGTTATATCCACACAATACGGAGAACAGTATAATTTTCTTCAAGATATATGTTGTCAACATATGATGAACTGATCCTTGGTGGAGAATTCTGGTCTATTTATGTGCAAGATAGGTAAAATAAAACAGGTAGAAACTCGACTTTCCTTAATATTAGGTACTAGGAATTCCTTAACCATGCCTTAGTTGAATTGTTCTCGTAAATTTTGATCCCTTCATTGACAGAGAGGTACACGAAAATTCAGATAATCAGGTCACAAGTGTTATTAGAATATATTTGATACGAGTATACGAATATACTTTAAATTTCGCTTCAAATTTCTCGCCAAAACCAGATACTTATATCATTTGACCACTGTGATGCTTCATATTCCCAAACACTGGTAAACTTATAGGCGATATACATTTTCAGTAATTTCCTAATGAAGGATATAAATTCTAATTTTTATAAGTGTTGAGTGGTGTCTTTGTATAAAGCACTACTATAAAAACACCTAAAGAGCTCAAAGAAGTTGTAATCTATATTACAAGACTCACTTATCAATATTACTACTGAAAGAGTGAAAACTGTCCGGTATAAATTTTGGTTGGTGAAAATTCTACTATTATCATGCATAACTAAAGGTGAGTTTGAGCCCACTCGATTAACGAGTAACTCGTTTTAATTAGCAAGTAACAAATATTACGGCATTTATGCATTCCCAATTAAAAAACCACAATGAAGAAGAAAATAATACGCGTACGCAATTGAGGTTTTATCGGGAAAAAAAAGAAATTTGTAATATCGATTATCGTATAATATTGTGTATTTTTAACACAGCATTAGTTTCCAATTCAGAGATTATAGAAAGAAATTATTTAAGAATCGATTAAACTAAACAGAACACAGCCAACAATTGAAAGGGGTATATTTTTAGGAAATATTAATTTTTGGGAAAAAAAGGTTTTCACATTTTACTTCGCCATCTTTATATGAAAATCTAGGAACCTTCCAAAGGAAGGGAGAAAGTAATTAATTAAAATTTTACAAAGAATGTATTGCATGAAGTAACTGAAAGTTACTTTTTTGCATGATCTATACGTCTTTGTATAGAGTTTATTATGGATTTAATTGCTTTCTTCCTTTCTTTGGGAGATTCCCACATTTTTGTAAAAATATGAAGTAGAAAGCAGTCTACAATGTTTTGAAATTCGAAAATTAATATTTTAGGTTATCCATCATTTCTACTGTCTGTGTTGTCTCATTTCTTTGTCTTTGTTGTAAAATGGGCCAATCAGCGATCATTTAAGTAAAAAAAAATGATATATTTGAGGTAAAAAAGTTACGAGTTAGCCAACTTTACTCGTTCTCAATTACTGAATAATTTATATTTTATTCAGCATAAACGTGTCCGTTGGAAGAAAACCGTTCAACAAAAATGCATAGAAACCCTGATGTTTGAACAAATTCGCTTTTGTATTTTCAAAAACTCTCGACGTTTTGTACATGGAGCAATAATCAAAATCTGTCGCTCACATTTCATGCAGATTTCTAATTCATGCAACATAATGCAAAAAATCTTTCACTTATCAATTTATTCCAAAATGTAAACAACATTGTACATTGAAGTAAAAATTTGACATTGTCATTTTTAATGTACTCAGCACCTCTGTAAATGAAAGGCTGAAACTTATAGAAACTCTTTATTATTTTTTAATCAAAAGTGTCATAGGTAGTCTCTGACAAAATATTTGTCAGAAAGGGGCCCAAGTGATCACACTTAGGATATTTCATGCATCTTGAGTACAACTAATAACACTACTTTACAGTCACTTTACGACTGTAATGCCAAAGGTAGTCCTTTGTTAATTTTTGGTCCCTAAATGCAAAAATGATAGTGGAAATTTCCTAACACGTAAGATTTTTGAGTTATGATTTTTTTCACAAAAATTTAATGAATACGACATTCCAAAGTTGCTTTAACACTAAATTGAGGAAATTGTTTGAAATCTGGCAACACAGCAGCTCTGCCCAGTATTCGAATCTGTTTCCACTGTATAGGTATGAGACTTGTAACGCCGCTTCTCGAACTTCCAATACTCGAAGTTTCCAGAAAATACCAGAAATACGGAACCTCTATAAAAGTAGCAGATTGACAATTGGATCATCAATATTGGTTTAACGCGAGTAGTGGTAAGTTAGTATTAGAGAAGGGAATATTATATTAGTGTTATCTTTGTGATTGAAATAAGTTGACCCCTGTAAACGCAGTATCACATATTTGAACTCGACGTACGCAACAGTACAAAAATGTCCAAAGTACAAAAACGTAGCTGCGTTAATCCCGCAGATAGTTTTTGCTATGTATGTGGTCAGTTTACTCCTAAATCGCAGAAACGGCCAATTAATCAAATGACCAAAGTAGCTTACCATAAGTATTTTGGATGTGTTGTTGGTGATCAAGATCGGGATTGGGCTCCTCATGTATGTTGCCAAACCTGTGCAGCAAATCTAAGTAACTGGTTAAATGGCAAACGCTCTTCTATGCCTTTTGCAGTTCCAATGATTTGGCGAGAAACAATAACTACATCATTACAACGACTATTACTTTTGCATGACAAAAGTGTCTGGTTTATCAAGAAAGAACAAACACAAAATTGTATATCCGGATATTCCTTCTGCAAGATATACAAGGTTCTTCATGGAGAAGGTTTACCAGTTACACCCTCGACAAATTGGGAGGAAGATTTGGAAATGTATGATGACCATGATGTGCCATTAAAAGTCGGTCCTTATTTTCCCTGAAGAGGCACGAGCCTATAGCAGGGTCCTAACAAATATTTAAACAAATTGTAAATTACTAACCCAAAAAAGTGAATAAACGTGAGATAATAATAATTAACGAGAGTGAAGCCCCCATGCAAAAATTCAGTTAGGAATAGTTACAACAAAACAATTGACCGCTCAGAAAGTACAAGCACCTAAGGCTGACTTTCGACCAAAAGAGGTCAGATGTCAATCTTGTTGAAGTGCCCATCAGTAAGTTGAGGACCGCTCGGAGAGCGTGGATGGAGTGGAGTATCAAGTTTTCCTCGCAAATTAGTTGTGGGGCGAAGATTTTACTTCCCGAGATTGAAGGAAGACCACCCCATTTAATCGAACAACTTGAATTAAAT